TTTTGGTTCTTTAGAGAGCCATATTCAATTCTAATTCCTGCTCTTATTCATTAATTACTCTCCTTACAAATTAAGCAATATCAATTTTCTTTTTCTAATTGGTAATATTTAAATCTCTCATTATAGTGATTTCTCATTAGATTTAGAATGTGAACTATGACTTTGTTTCTGAGAGCCAAAACAGACAGGTTTTGCTCTTGCCAGAAAGCGCCCTCGCCATTTCCAAGAGTAAAAATTCCTGGACTTCTGAGTCTTATACATTTGTTTCTAATTCTTTTAACATTTCAGAAAAGACAAGGTTCCCATAATCCATCTGTTGAAAAATCTTGCAGAGATGAAGATGTTTAAAACTGCATGTCTCTAATAAATAACAGTGTATATATAAGGTTGTACAGCACATTGAATGTTACCAAATGTTAACGCCTCCTGTGTGATCAGTCAGACTTTTAAGCTGAGATCCAATGGTTTTCTCCAAGGCTGTATTTATTTCCCTGCTCATTCTCACAACCATTAATGGCTCTCTTAAAAATCCTTTGGTGATGGGTGAGGTACCAGAAAACAGAAAAAGGTCAAATATAGTGACTGTCTGTAAAAAAGGCAGGAAAGGAACCAATAAATTCTAGACTAGTCTGTTTAAATTCTTCTCCCAGAAATATTCTGGAGTAAAAAAAGTAATTGGAACAGGTAATTGGAATAGGTAACCTAATAACAAGTGTCACACACAGCAAGTATAGCTATGAGAAGAATAAATCCTATTAGACTAATGTGCTACTGTAACAAACCAGGAATGTCTGCAGCAGCGGCCATAACTCAGGACTTCAGGAGAGTTTAAATCCTATTTCCTGTTACATTCCCATAAAACACAGCAAAAGTCAATGACATAAAAATGTGTAATAAGCACCCCCACACAGGACTGCTGTGACCATTAGGTTGGAAGGATGTATCAAAATAAGCAGATATTCTATCCTGAATAGAATCTATTCTGTGTTTCATTGGGGATGCTATGAGAAAATTGAAAGTATGCTCTAAGAGGTGTGAAAACTGAAGATGCAGAAGTACAGCATTAGTGCAAATAGATGTCAAAAAGCCAGGAACACAACCTTTAAGAAAAACCAGGATTAAATTCATCTGGGACAAGACCTGGAGACCATGCTGAGCAACAGTACTCAACACCAAAATACATCAAAGCACAATTAGCTGGACAATGGTATTTTCAGAAAAGGACCTGGGGGTTACAGCTCATCAACACAAGCCATGCAGACAAGATAAGCACTACATAAAAATGAATATTCAGGAGCACAGGTTGTGAGGCAGTTGGTAAGATGATGCAATTCTGTCCAGAACAGGTCTCTCTCCAGTCTTGTGCTTGTATTTCAAGAAGGATGTGGCTTACTATGGGAAGAGTTTGTTGCAGACCAACAAGAAATAAGACCTCTGAGAATGAGCTGGAAGATTTAGGAGTATCTAGCTTAATGAAGGTAACTCTTAAAGATTAATCAATGCTTGATGAAAGTATTTATAAGCACCAAAGTCTGATAGAAAGAAGAATAATTCATTCAATGTGTCCATGGTGGACAGGACAAAAAGTAATAGCTTTAAGTTTCAGGAAGAATAGTCCAAGTTACTTATTAAAGGGAGAAAATTCTTCTTGATGGTAAGTGAAGCACAGGAATTTCCTGGATAGGTCATGAAGACCTCATCATTAGAAATTGTAAAGGAATGAATAAACAAATATCTATCTGAAATGAACTCAGCATCGTTAGGAGATGAACAAGATAACATTTTTGTTATCTCTTGCAATCTTTTTCTTTTATAGTTACATACTTCTTTATCACTGAAAAGATGTTTCAGAATCTCTCAGCCTTTCGTTTAGAAAAAGAATTTATCTGGGGAATTTCTAGGGGTGGAAAATTTTTGTAACGGCTGTGGAAGATGTTTTATTTAGTTTCTGGTGGGTGCACAGTACTTCAGAACACAGTAGCCTACATTATATTATTCTGAGAAATTAAAGTTAATGGGACTCATGTGGGGAATATGGCATAACATCATGAAAGACAAAATATTATAGGCTCTTACTTCTGTAAAATAGTGAATGCAATAAAGCCTTTCAAAACACTGCCAGCATTAATTTTCACCATCAATAAACCTCTCCCAAATAACAAACCCCAACTTTAGCACTCCTTCTAGAAAAGCATTACTAGATACTACAGATGATGAAAGAATGTGTGTGCCACCTTCTCTTTCTCCACTTTGCAGCTTTCCAAACCTCACTTTTTGCACCCACCTCAGGGAACTACAGAAAAGAACACTTTGCTTCATCGTGGTGCTGTGAAGTAGAGAAATATGAGATCAAGAACAATAAATAAATGCAAGCTCTGCAATACAGACTGTGCTGTATTAAGGATAAGTTATGCTGTTTTACTCTTTGTTTATATTTCACTTTTCCCTCCTGGGCCCGTGGAGTGCAGACACACCCAGCCATCAGCTCCATGCACTGGGAGCAGCCCAAAGCAGACCTGAGCACATCCAGTGGTGCTCCCTGCATGGTGACCCTCACTTCTCACCCTTCCCAGGAGAGATCCTGCACTGCTCTGGGTCTGGAGACTTTGTGCAGTCCCAAACATGTGGGATTTACTACAGCAGATCACCCAGTTCATGAAGTTCCTTTAAATTCCAGGATCTATTTCACCCCAAAGAATGTGGACTCTGCACAGAGGCTGAGTGTGACAATGAAACATTCTCCAGTTATGCTTTCTCTGAGATTTGAAGATATTATCTCTGTGTGTGTGTGTGTGTGTGAGGTGAGGTGAGGGAAAGAGAGCAGGATGAAAAAGGAAGGCAGAAAATGTAGCAAAATTGACATGGTACACCAGAATGAGAAAGATCCTGTTATTCTTTTCTTTGATCAAGCTATTGGGCTCAGAAAAAATGGCCAACGTAAATTATATATGCCAAAGTCAACTTCAGCTGATGTTCTTCCTTGCCATTTGATCTTGTATCTGCCAACTTCCACCCATTTCCCCAATTTTATCCACATGTAATAGTATGTAGGCATTAAAAATGTGTTTTTCTACTTAGTTCAAGTTTTCTGTGTAGCAGGCATTTTATTCTTCCCCTGCAATATACTAGGAAAATAAAATGTCATTTATTCAATTGAAGTGGTAGAGTACTGAATTTAACTACCAATAATAATGCCTAATGACTATATCCTTTTAAAAGCATTTATATGGATTTAAGTAGGAAATCAAAGAGTTTTCTTCTTGTTTTTCAATCCAAATGCAGATTAAGAAAGGGTTCTTTTCAGTGAATAAAAACTAAACTGCGGACAAAATTATATTTAAGAGGTCTTTGATTGATTATATTATTTTTATGGCTGATGAAAAAAAGATTACTTCTGGGTTCAACTAACTGATGAGAAAAGGTTTCTGTGGCTGTATTGCAGGAGTGGATAAAACACAAGGAGAGGAATCTCCTGGACTTCCTACATGGAGAATCTCTGACTGTAAATCTCACTAATTTATGAGTGGAAAATACCCAAATAATTGTTTTGCTCAGAGGAGCTAAGCACCTGTAGCTGTTATGGATTGTAACTGGTGCTGTCAACACTTGTGAGTATTTGGCTTGTGCAACTCACAGATCCTGGCATCAGAAGACACACAACTCCAGCTGGTGTTGGTCTGGGGCGAGGCAGCACACTTTGCTGAATTTCAAGTTGTTTTGATAAGGACAATGTTCACTTTCGTATCAACCAGAAAAGAAAGAAAAAAAAAAAAAAAAAAAACAAAAACTGCTTGATGACTGTAAACTTCTCAGCTGGAAAGGAAAATATTTTCAGTCTTTCCTGACACTGCCCCACACACTACAAGACAATATTAAGCGGAAGGGAGATTGCACTGTTTTTAAGACCTACAATCATATTTTGTTCTAGTGTTTTTGACTTCAGACACTTTATTTCCTGGGGCCATGGGAAGTATCAGAGGACCTTGTGGGCAGTGTGTTGTTATCTGCAAGCTGCTGGCTGCCATCCACAGAGACTGAGAATGTCTCACTCCATGCACGTAATGCACAGCTGGAATCCTGGGTGTTACAGAATTCATATTGTCACAGAACTAAGTGGGAAATATGTGAAGACTCAGTAAGCCCAAACTGGAACTTTGTAAAAACGAGTGTATGTTGAGCACAGTGCAGGTCCCTGGATCTGCCTGGAGTACCAGCAAATCTCCTCACAAATGTCAGCATGGTCCTTCAGGCTGATGTTATCAGTGAGATGAGTTCACTGTTACATCAGCTGTAATTTTTGTATTGGCATCCAGAGTGCATCCACTAACCTGGTTTGGCCACCATAAATGCATCGATGCTCCAGCTCTGGAGGAGACAGGTATCTGCAGCACTGCAGTGTAGGGTGCCTTGGGATTCCAGACCCAGTGCTGCTGGATCATCTTCTATCTAGCAGACTGGAAAACAGCAGGAAATAGTGATCAATTTAAGCAGAAAGCTTTTGTTGGAGTGTGCGGTATGTAACTTTTTGTGTCAGAAAGGATTTCTCTGATTCAGTAAAAACAAGACAGACCCAAAGTGAGTGGGGTGTCCGTGCTTCACTCTTTGTCCAGGCGATTTGGACCGTCACCCTTGGGCAGTGTCCAGCTGCGGGAACAGCAAAATGCCACCACCACTGCCACCAGACCAGTGTGGCAGCTCATGTTGCTGTTTCCTCTACACCACTGCGTGCTTCGGGGCTCAAACTGTTTGCAAAGTGGTAAGAAGTGTGCCGGAGTACATCCAGCTGGGATTCTGGGTGTGGATAAACGCAGTTCTGCTGGAAGGTGAGGGATGTATAACCCCGTCTCTGGAGGTGCAGCAGCACAAGGCGCTTCTCCGCCACGAGGCTTCGTGCAGCGAAAGGTCGGAGCGGGGAGCCGGGGCTGTCCCGGCGGGAGGGGATGCGCGGCCGCGGCAGCACAGCGACTGCAGGACACGCGGCCGGCTGGTCCCTGCCGCCCTCAGCGGCGCGGCTCGGCAGCTGCTCTGGGCACGGGGCAGCTCAGGACCGACACCCGCCTGTCCTGTGTGCCGCCCGGCATCGCAGGGTCGCTGCAGACCCGCTCACAGGGCCGGGGGTCGCCGGGTGCGGCGGGACCCGGCTGGCAGGGTGATCCCGGCTGGCAGAGACCCCGGCCCAGCCGGCGGGGGCGGTGCCGCTGGGGGCGGTGGCATCTCCCCTCTCCTCCCCCGCCCTCCCTCCGTGCCTGCCCGCCCTCCTGCGGGGCCGCGGCGCTGCCCCCTCCCGCCGGGGATATCCCCGGCCCCTCCCCGGCGGGCGGCGGCCCAATGGAGGTGGGGATGCTGTGCGGGCTGCGGGCGGGCTGGGGGCGCCGCCGAGCCGCGGACGCCGCGGGGCCGGGGCCGCGCTCACTCGGCGGGGAGCCGCGGGCAGAGGCGGGCGGCGCCGGGGCTCGGTGCGGCGGCGGCTGGGATGCGCCGGCCGGGCGGCTCTGGGGGCAGATAGCGTCCCGCGGGGAGGCGGCCGAGTGGGGCCCGCGGCGGCGGCCGCCGGGCAGCGCCATGGCGGCGCAGTGCGACCCGCTGAGCGGGTACCTGCCCCCGCCGCTCTCCGACCCGGGCTCCAACAGCGAGCGCAGCGCCGACTCGCCCGCGCCCGGCTCCGAGGAGGACTCGGCCGGGCCGCCGCGGCCCCTGCACAGCCCCGAGTGGGGCGAGGAGCGATTCCGGGTGGACAGGAAGAAACTGGAGGCCATGCTCCAAGGTGAGGGCGGGAGCGGCGGTGGCGGCGGCCGGGAGGGGCGAGAGGGGGCCCCGCTCCCCGCCGTGCCTTGTCCCGGCTCCCCCGTCCTGTCAGCCGCGTCCCCGGGCGCTGGACGCGGGCCTGGGTCGGCGGAGCCCCGTGGGGCGGTCCCTGCTCCGGGCGCTGCCGTGGCCTCCGGGGCCGGGGCTGCTCCCGCTCCGCCGGGGGAAGCGGCTCCCCGTGCCCCGGAGCGCAGCGGAGCGGAGCGGGCCGGCCCCGCAGCCCGGGGGGCCGGGTGCCGCTGCGGGCCGGGCCGGTCCCGGCAGGGCGGGTGGTGCCGCTGCCGGCCCCGCTGCGGCTCGGAGCGCCCCGGTCCCTCGGAGCTCCGTCCGTGAGGAGCGGCATCCCGCCCGGGCAGGCTGCGGGCTCTCGGCTTTCGAGGAACAGCCCAGCCGAGGAGCCGGGACGGTTCCGCCGGGCTGACAGCGGCCGCCGCTGCCGTGGGACCGGCTCGGCCCTTGGCTCCGCTGTCTGGGGTTTGTTTTTTGGAGGTTTTTTTCTTTCCTTGAGGCTACATATTTTATCCCGGTATGTTTTGAATTATCTGCTCTCAGTGGAAGTTACGTAGGCAGCTTTTGACAAAAAGGAGTAGTAATTGCTGGTTTTATTGCTAAAGAGCACATGAGTGGGTTTGAACCAGTTGAGGATGCTGCTGAGCGGGGTGATTCCCTCGGGGTGTTCCCAGCTGTCTGGCCTGAGGAGCCTGTGAGAACCGAGGTGAGTTTCAGTGTCAAATCTCAGGGTGTGTCTGGATCAACAAGAAGAGACAGTGGTGGCTTCAAGAGGGCGCTTTTTTCCTTTGGAACTACTGTTTTGTAAACATTTAATGTTACACTAACACGGTAACTCACGTATTTGTGTACGTTTTCAGAACAGACAGACCCTTGACAAGTGTTTTACCTGGCATGTCACGAAGAAGGCGTTTTGGTCACTTACTGGAAGCTTTAGGTGCTCCCTACATGAGCATCCCCTGTCAGGGTACCTGCCTTCCTCCTTGCAGCAGTGGAAGGGAGGCTGTGGCAGCAAGCGGGAGAGCAGGAGCTGGTGAGTTGGGTTGGTCACTGAAGAGCTGCGGTTTGACTTGGTGACTACAATGATTGGAATTTTTTTTAATTGAGATGGTCTCTCCTGGGGGTGAGTTAATCTTTAATCAGTTAATACTTTAGCGCTAGTAGAAACATCTCATTATGTAATGCGGTAAAGAGAAAGGAATTTGGAGAAACAGAGCAGCAACAACTATTTCTGAAGATGTGCTCATCAGAAGTGTCTGAAATCCAAAACCACTGGGGTATTTCTGCGTAAGAAGTGGTAGAGAAGGGTCAAAAGTTGGAGTTCTGTAAGAAGATGAAGGTTGCCTTAACTTTTCCTTTAATAGCCGAATAAATTTCCATTATCTCATCCCTCACACAGTCCTTTCTTCCCCAGGTAGTAAGCATGAAGGGGTAAACAAAACTCCCAAGCAGAAAACAAATACTCTATAGGTTGTGTGACCTGGCAGTAGCTAGCATCAAAACATCTGATTTGTCTTTGCTCCTTATTCAAATTTTATTTCTTATCTTTGTAAGAAGAATAAAGTAGTAATAAGTATATGAATGATAGGACATAGTGAGTAAATACAAGCAGAATACTGCCTGGTTTTTGATGTGAGGTTGCTGTATGTCCTGGTTAGAACACACATTCTAGGTGATGTTTGAGGAGAGTTTGATCAGATAGTTATCCTTGCTGTGGTGGAAAGTTTATGCTGGACTTGGAAATAAGTGGTTTTATGTGAAAATCTGAACTGTCTGGCTTACTGTTAATGAAAAACTACTTATTAGGAAACAAGAACCAAACATAGTAGTTCTTTCTGTGAGAAAAGGGAACTTTTTGGTAAACATTGTCACTTTCTGTCAGTGCTTTCTCAGTTTCCTCTCTGTGCTTTACAAGTATTTGTCTCATCTCTTGACTTTCAAGAACCTCAAGCACCAAGCAGTTCTTCCAGGGAAAGAGTTGTGGAGCCAGATCTGTACCTGGTACCCAGAAATTCAGTCAGCTATGCTGCTTATTACAAGCCAAACTTGGTTTTAGTTATTAACTTCTCCCACCCTCCCCACCTTTTGTTTGTGTCTGTCTTTTGGGAGTGAAACTTTGAGTTGCCCTGTCAGGAATGGGACAATGGAAAGGAAGCAGTGTGAACCATCTCCAGGAACAAACTCCAGTTAGATAATTTGTAGGGTTGTGTTCCCTATGGTTTTTACTTCCAGATCCTTTACTGGAAGTTCTTAAAATATGCAGAAATTGCATCATGGAAAAGAAACATCTTTTCAGTCCAAGTCATGATGAGCAGTTTTCTTATTTCCAAAAGTTAGCCAATTTTTACGCTTTTTTTTTTATTTCAGCCTAGTGTAAATACAGCTTTTTGTTCATATTAGATGCTTAAAGGCTCCTCTTTTGCTTTTACCAGCTACTAGATAGCTTGTTTACATTCGAGAAAGCTACTTTTTAAATTATTTAAAAACTTAGAATATGTTCTAGTAATCACCAGACATTTCTTATATTATAGAAGAGTGAGAATGCATTGTCTCTAGTTTGGTTGCCTTTAAGCCAAGTTTGAAAGAGCATCTGTTGAAGGAACTTATCAGGAAATGTTCTCATTCTTGCTTGGGGGTGCCTTGGTGGGATTTTTTTTTTTTTTTTTTTTTTTTTTTTTTTTGGTTCATCAACATCTGTTGTTTACTGTACTAATCGTGAAATGTAAGAAAAACTATCTGGGAGAAAAAAACATGCAGCAGCTCCATCTTCAGCTCAGCGCTTCTCTTTTTGCATTGCTGAGTTTTATATGTGCTGCTGCTGTGGTTATTTTCCTTTCCCCCAGTTTGTGGGCAGTTTCCTGAGGGCCAGGGCTGATCCCAGCAAGGCTCACCTGGGAATATCAATCTCTGCAGCTCATGAGGGCACTGGGGCACCTTCCTGTGAGACACAGAGTAACTGCAGTAAGTGCTGTAGCCAGAACTTCCTAGCTGTCTTTAAAAAAGAGGAGGTGCAGGTAGTTTGCTACCAGTTGTATCTGAAGCAGAAATCAAATTTGACTTGAGGTGTCAAAAAATTTTGATAGATTTGAGGATGCTTCTGCTAGCTTTTTTTTTTTTTTTTTCCCTTATACCACTTTAAAATAATTGTATTGGTATTTTCTGAATGGTTCTGTTTGGTATATCAGAAATTGCAAAAGCTGTGGTAAACCCCTTGCAAATAGGTCCTTGTGCCCATCTTGTTTGTATGATTGTTTTATGACTGGAATTGTGTCCCATAAAGAAATCTCAGTCTTTACAGTGGGGTGTAAGCTCTCTTATGCCTTGTGTCTTCATCAGTTTCTTAGTGAACAGATACTTCTAGAATAATTGTTTTCTAGGAGGCCAATATGAGTAAAACAGATCAACTTCTCAGCAGTGACATGAGATGGTATTTCCTAGCAGCCCAATTAATTACAGCTGCTCTGCACAAATTCTGGTTAATGCTCAGGTGACTTCATGTTGTGGGATGCTTTACTTAGTGTGTGAGTGCCTGTTACCATAGGAGCTGAATATTATTGTAAAGAGGAAGAACAGTAAACTTAGGAAAGCTGTCCAAAAAGTATCATCTATCAGCTGATGTTGCAGCAATCAATAGACTTAGACGAGTCGGCCATGAACATTAAAAAAAAAAACACAAGCCAAAGAAAGCAACACCTTTTTTTGCTTGTGTGGTGTGTCTCATCCTTGGTTACACAATGTTATGCCAATCTTACATTTCAAATAATCCTTTTTCTTTGTCTTGTTCTTTAGCAGATGTGGGGGCTTTTTTATGTGGCATGTGTGGTTTAAGCACCCACAGTTAAATACTTTGTGACTTTATAATGCACTATCACACGATAGTAGTTTGCTAGAAAAACAAATCCATGCTGTTTTTAATAAGAGTCTAAATCTAGCAATGGTGTGTGGGCCCATATTATGTATGGCTCTTTCATTAAAATACAAAACCCTGCTTATTAAAATTCTGTTTTTCTCTGCTCTGTTTTGTACTTTTTTGTGTATCCTCTTTCATTTTGAGCACTCCTCAGGGTAATTTTAATTAGGGATCTAAAACTTTATGGGTAGTGGGTTTTTTTGTTCTGTGTTTTTATTTGTTTTGTTGGGATTTCTTTTTCCCCTTGTGAGGTGATTCAGCATTTGCCTATTTATTGATAAACAAATACATGAATAAAGCACAGACCTGCATGCCCAGGAAACTCTGAAGAGCACCCAGTTTGCTCTTGAGCTCATCTTACAGAGCAGCTTGTGTTGCTACCAGGTGAGCACCTTGGAAAGTAGCACTGGGTGTAGTGCTGGCTGTACTGGCTATGTCACAGGTCAGCTGGAGCAGGCCAGAATTAGAGGAATTGTGTGAATTCTAAAAATGATAGTGGATCACTGGTTACTTTGCAGGCAATAAGGACAAAAATGCTGTCACCAATTCAGTAGGAGCAGTCAGTGCAAGCAGCTCATTGAGGTGCCTTTGTGCTTAGCTCTGTCCTGCCATTGCAGCCTAGAGAGAGCTCTCCCCATCCTTCTCCCTCTGTTTTGGTGCTCTTTGCATGTCACGGGGAGCTAGAAAAAGGCTCAGATAGTCATTTTATGCCAGAACAATCCCTAATTTTCTTAGGAGGAGGTGACACAAATAATTAGGTAACTTTTGTTTGCACAGTTTAATCCAAATGAAACTTACTGTAAATGAATTGTTAATTCCTTTGCCTAAAGGTCACCCTGA